AATAAACTGTATAAAGCATAGATTAAAAGCATAAATCATTGAGCATAAAACAAAAGAATAAATTATAAAGCATAAAGCATAAATCATAAGAAATACATAAAATGCATAAAGCATAAATCAATTATAAGGCATAAAGAATAAAATAAATTTATAAAGAGTAAATTAAAAGCACAAGGCATCGATCAAAATGATAAATCATATAGAACATAAAGCATAAATCATATATCAAAAGAAAAAAATCATAAAGCAGTAAAGCATAAATTGTAAAGCATAGGTCAAAAGCATAAAGCTTAAATCAGAAGCATAAATTATAAAGCATAAATCATAAAGCACAAATCAAAAGTATAAAACATAAAGCATAAATTGTAAAGTATAAGAGTAAAAATCAAAAACTTTATGCACAAACTATAAATCATAATGCTTAAATTATAAAGCATAAATCATGAATCAAATTCAGAAATAATAAAGCATGAAACATACAGCATAAGCATACAGCATAAATGTAAAATTTGAATCATAAATCATAAAGTAAATCTCACTTTTTAAAGTATTTATAGCATCGTCTGTTCCTTAGGATATTTTTATGATCAATTTTGATTATCCTATAAATATTGAAAGCAGTAAACAAAACAAAATATTTTATATCATAGTTCTGAAAAGAATACATTTTAATATTCAGCAGAAAGATCGGATGGTACTTAAACTCCCGACATACACGAAAAAAAAACAACCCCTATATCACCAAATTCAAGAACCAAAGCTTTAATCCATTAGGCTAATGTCCCGTAGGATTTTTTCTATAGAGAACTTGGAGACTTAAACCTAGACTGCCTGCTAATTTGTACTATAATTGCTGCTGCTGCTGCTGTCCGTAATGTTTTGCCTATTGGCCGTCATGTTTTTGATTGCTGCTGCTACATAAAAACAACATGCCGAATTGTAACAACCATATGTTGTGTACACCTCTCCTTTCTTCTTTTTTGTAAGAATTTTAAATTATCCGTTATAAGTATATACTGTACTTTTTTACATTTGAACTTAAAGAATCTTCTTTTATTCAAATTAAAAACCAAAATCAAATCGAAATTTTGAAAGTATATCTAATGTCGTCTGGACTTAAGTTCTTTTTATGATCCATTTTGATTATCCCAAAATATCGTTACTGAAAACTGTATATAATGTCATTCGACGTTCTCAGAAGAATTATGAGCAGTATAAATAAATTAAGACTGAAAAGTGCCACATCTGAACTACGCTTAGAAAATCAACGCGAGACAAGCTTGCTAGACATTACACACGTTAAAGTACACACGTAAGTTTATAAGCGTAACTTTGATTTGGCACAAGGCCGAAAGAATGAAGCACCCAGTGAGGGTCGAACTCATTTCTCAGTTCTAATTGTTCTAGCGAGACAAGCAAGCTTACTAACAACTACACCAAATAGATGTTCCTATATATATACATATATATCATAGGATGAAGAACAAATAGGGAATGTTTATAAATCTAATGTTTGGCTTTTGTTAAAGCTTTATCAGAGAATGACATGTGGAGAAAAATAAATTCTGGTATTTTTATTTTTGTGTTGTTTGATTCCCATTGGTTAAGCAGGCTTCACGTGCATTAAACATGTCAAGCAGCGTTCGTTTTTATAATTCATGGATGATGCGTTCTCCGGAGCTCAAAAAATAGCAGATTCTAAACTTAACTGAAAAAACGTAAATATTGTATGTATGTATGTATGTATGTATGTGTGTGTGTGTGTGTGTGTGTGTGTGTGTGTGTGTGTAGTATACATTGTTTATGTTTGGTGCTTGTCCGCATGTTGTTTTCTCGTAAACACCGGCCGTGGTAAATAAACATACGTTACATTCTTTAAGAATGAATTTAAGATTGGTAATGTAATATAGTGTTTTAAACGTGCGTTTATCGTTTGTAAAACATTTAACAGGACCCCCTAGAAGCAGTTTCGATGTGAAGAATTATCTTCTTTTTTAATTAGAGTGGTATTTGTAAAATTAAAGCTACGGTCAATTGTGTTCCTCTCTATTGCTAGTTACTTTAAAGGGCTGTTCAAACATAGATCCCTTTTTATGCTAGTAGTTACGGGCTTTTAGATTTTAGATTTCGTGATGTCTCGCCTATGTAAGTTTATTTACAATGAAAGCTATTTATTTAATAAATCTCGCCATCTGAAATGCTGTTATTTTTCTTCCTAATATCTTCGATTACCTTGGAGCTCGTGGTAAAGACCCTAATATTGGGGATAACTAATTTATTCTCAAATTTGGTAGAAAGACTGTTACAGGATAGGGTTATGAATTTTGTGTTGTTGATGTTAAAAGTGCTGTCTTTTTTTCCCTAGCGTTGAGGATGAAATAATATGGATAGTGAAGGTGGGTTTATTTACGCGTTGTGATAGGAACATGTGTGGAACTCCTGAAATAAAGTCCACTATAAATATGGCAGACTCGGATAATAATAAGCCTAACAAAAAGAAAATGTAACAGAAAAATAACAAGAAACCTATATACATGTATAAACAGATATATGTATTAGACAACAAAAGCCTTTACAAAAGACAAAAATATTAGCGTGTTTGTGCGCATGAACGTAAAGAGTTCGTGCTGCATAGCGTGTTCGTAAGTACGTGTGTGTGTGCGTGTCTTTGTGCATGAAGTTTATGGTGTCTTTCTGTTATGTAGTGGTTTCACAGTGGAGGCTTCGTATTTGTACTAAGTCGGTCCTAAAATAGGTTCGACGTACAAAACGTTAGGAACTTGATATAATAGGTAATGACGCAGTAATCTAGTTGTGGTCGAGGACACTTTAATATCCGACTAACGGTCGTCCGACATCGACTGACTGACGAACTCACTGAGCCACTCAGCGACTGCTACTACTCCTACTTATTATAGCTGGGAGAGTCTATTAACAATAGAATAGGTGTGTTCCAGTATAACACTTTCCAAGGAAAACGTATAGCGCCTCCACAAAAAAAGAGAAAACGCAATCTTCTGCCTGGTTGCAGTGTCCGCAGAAAAGCGGAAGAGAGAGAGAGAGAAAGGTTTATCTCAAGTATTTATAATTTAGAGATAGCGACCCATAGGAACAACTTAGGCAATTAAGAAATTAAACAATCAAGAAATTTAGGAGTAGTTAACTCCGACAAAGAAATCAAATTTTTTACAATCTATTTCTATTCATCACTGATGTAATCTGGACCACATATTTCAATGTCTCTGAGAGAGAATCTTATGACGAGTCCTAATTTTTTTTTTTTTTATTAGTGTAATATAAATTATATATATATATATATATATATATATATATATATATTAAGAAATGGACAAGGTCCGACAATTTATTTATTAAAGACATTTTTATGTTTAACGTTGTTATTTATAGATACAAGTATTTAAGCAAATGCTCTGTTTATAATAAACAGTATTAAATAACATTTACCGGCCTGAATGTCCGAGAAATTTTCATAGAAAATATTCGTTCTTTGACAGGATTCAAACCTGCATCCTATACGGAACCGTCATTTACGCTGACGTGCCTTACCTCTGGGCCACAAAGAAGCATTTCGGTAGGCAAGGTCGAATTTACTGCTTATAAACTTCAATCTTCCATGAATCTCGTACATTCATAACTGCTCTGGCGTATCAAATGTAAACAAATGACGTCATATATTAAGAAATGGACAAGGTCCGACAATTTATTTATTAAAGACATTTTTATGTTTAACGTTGTTATTTATAGATACAAGTATTTAAGCAAATGCCCTGTTTATGATAAACAGTATTAAATAAAATTTATCGGCCTGAATGTCCGAGAAATTTTCATAGAAAATATTCGTTCTTTGAAAATTTCTCGGACATGCCTTAGGCCGGTAAATTTTTATTTAATACTGTTTATCATAAACAAATGACGTCATTTGCTTAAATAACTTGTATCTATAAATAACAATGTTAAACATAAAAATGTCTTTTAAATATATATATATATATATATATATATATATATATATATATATATGTTAATGCCGTCTTTTCTACAAATACTTTCACAATAACTATATCCGACGAGCTACTTTCGTTAGTTTTCAAACTACATGAATTTAAACGTGCTACATGAATTTAAAGTGCTACTAGGTCGGCATCTGTTGTAGAGTAGTTTTTTCAAGTCGTCCAAAATTAGGTTCGACGTACAAAACGTTAGGGACTTGAAATAAGAGTTAATGACGCAGCAATCTAGTTGTGATGGTTGATACTTCAATTCCGACATCGACTGACTCACTCAACACCACTGAGCCCAACTGGCGACCGCTACTACTACTACTACTACTTATGTGTGGGAGAATCTATTACAATAGAATAGGTATTATGGTATAACAGCATCTCAGCCCCACCCTTTTGCTGTTAAATGTAGCCGTCTCTTCTACTCCAATAGCTTCATGTCTCGTACCTCCCGTCAGTGGAACTCCCTTCCTCTTACTTGCTTCTCTGATAGCTATAATATTTAATTATTCAAATGCAATGTCAATCGACATCTTCAGATTCCCGTCCATCTCTTCATCCTTTTCTCTATCACAGCTCTTTACTCTTGCTCCCACTTTCTGTAACCCCTTGCGTGCTAGTGGCACTCCCGCCTTGCTTTGGGTGAAAATCTTTTAAAAAATTATATAGATGGTGTTTGAGTTGCTGTTCCAGAAGATTAGATTGATTGACTGATTTGATTTTTACGGCTTGTCAACCCTTTGCTGGTTACTCAAAGCCAGAAAATATTTTTAGATTGCAAAACATTTTGAAGTATAATAATAATTTACTGATACAATACCTACTAATTAACCGATAGCTGGCGGTGGAAAGAAAAAGTGGGTTCATACCAAGGACATTTTCGCGTAAGTGTATATAACAAACCCGACTGGAATTGGAACTCAGCACTGCGATCTCCAATTACGAGCCGTTATTCATTACCCTACTCACACATCCAAGCTTACAGCACCTTGTATACCCAAGCGGTCACCCATTTAGGTACTGACCAGACTTGGTGTTGCTTAACTTCAGTGATCGTACGAGAACTAGTATTTCAATGTTATATCGTCATAAGCCTACCAACGGGGTAGATAACAGATTATATCTGTGATATCAAGGGATATTTTTATCTTCTATTATTTTTTTTATTGTCAGCATCTACAGTCTCATATCCCCAGCACTGGCCGATTCGTCTAATTAGATCATGCGGTAACAACACTACAAGTTATAAACTCTTATTCTTCCCTATTCCCCTACTTCTACTTACATCACCCTTATTTTGCCCTTCGTTTCTACCTTCTTGTTATGGTAAGTTACGCACACAGACATGGATTCTCCCAGCTATAAATAGGAGCAGGTACTGCCTTTTTTTGAGAGAAGTTTCCAGCAGTTTGCTCTGACAGTCGGACTCAATATTCTTACTGTAACACTCTCGTTTGTATATGTTTGTATTACTGTTTCTGTTAATATATTTAACTCATTTCCTCTCTTTGTGTTTTTATTTCTGGCACTAACAAGGCCACAACACTTCTTTTAAGTTCCGGGACCCTTCAGAACTTGGGTGCTCATGGGTACCCACAGCTTCGTATCCATTGAAACTCTTGAAAGTATTTATCCTCTTACTCTCCCTTCCACTTCCTTTTCTACCAATCATTTACACAAGCGCGTTAGGTAGGTCAATCACTATTTTCCTTTGGCCCTTTTGCCTTCAGTATCACCTGTGAGTATCAAATTTTCCAATCCCACTTTCCTCATTATGTGTCCTAAAAGTTTCAACTGACTCTTTCTCATTCTAAATGCATCTTAAAGGTTATACGCTGCTTTTCTAAAAACTTCCGTCATAACCCCCCCCCCCGAGGATGCTTTCTCGTCTACCTCAATTTTAACCACTTCAAATCTAGGGCCAACCGTTATCTATTGTACATATCTTCATAATATACACTTCTTATATAACTCATTTACCCCCTTGCAACAACCCCATTCAATAACACTCTACCTTGAGGGGCTCTTGGGCTTCATATTGGGTGGAAATTATTATTTTAAAAAATGCTAGTTTTGTAAGTTTGAGTCTTACTAAGGGATCTACTAGTGTGGTTTCGTGTGGGAGGAAGTTAAGTAAATATCTACAATGCAAATATCTAATTTAACTGACGGATTTTGTTTGTTTACGATCACTAACATGACATTCAACAAGAGTAAGATAAGTCGAGTAAATATCAGCAATTCAAATATCTGCATCTATATTCAAACAGCTCTTCTTTTCTTTGTTTACAATCACTAATATGGCTTCTGGCCTGTGTAAGTTAAGCAGAATAAATATCCAAAGGCCAAATATTTTATTTCAATGACAGATCTTTGTTTAAGATAACTAACATAGCTCTCTTTGAGCAAATATATACAATACAAATATAGAATAAATACAATGTAAATATCAACATTAACTTATAGGCAAATCTTTTGTTAATTTATAATTAATAAATTATTTTATATTTTTCTTAAATAATTATTATTGTTCTATTTTATTATTAGTTGCTGTTGTTAATCTCTTGTGCTTAATATGACCTACGGTAAGAACGAATCTTCTGAATCACATAACGTTTATATAATTATAATAGCTCTATTTTATTATCAGTGTTATAACGAGCGTTTGGCTGGGAAAGAAAAGGAATAACAAGGATTAGGTTTTCAAACAACGTGTATTTGTTCATTATAGAAGGTACATTACAGTTGTTGGGAAATTGGAAGAGATATATATTTCGGTTGCTGATCGTCAAGAATTCTATTAGGTGTAGGGGTAGCGGCGGAAGTTGGCTGATTTCTTAGGTTGGTTTGACCGTGGTTACAGAATATTGGGTCTGACGCACGTGTTGATCAATCGAGGTCACGGTGGTGGGTCAATTTGTGGTAGGGTGCGTTGGTTGCCGAGTTGTCGAAGAATTAGTGTAGCTTATAGGCCTGTGGTGGGATGTCTCGCTGCGAGGAAATGCCTGTAGCGAGTCGGGTTAGTGGCGATAAGGAAGTCGGATGTTGTTTCAACGAAAACGGGCCGTGGTGATGACTGCGAAGGTATGCCTGTAACGAGTAGGGTCTACTGAGGTGACGGTAGTGGCAACGAGGAATTGGATGTAGCTGGTAGGCCTGTAGCGGAATGTCTCACTGTGAGTGTATCTTTGCTGTGAGACGGGTTGCCGAGATGACGGCGTTGGCGATGAAGAAGGCTTCTAGCGAGCTGGTGACGACGTTGAGACTTTTAAATCGTGGCGTTTCGCATCGAGAGCCTGGCGATGCAGAAGCTAGATATTCGGCCGTATTCCATGTTTGATGTTATAAATCCCGTTGGTGGGTGTCGAAAGCATGGCGGTGTAGAAGCTGGTCTCTGTAGGTTTACGTGTGTGAATAGTGGGCTGATTAGTCAAGCCTGGAAGTGGTAACGGTTAAGTTAAGAGGACTGATCATGTCGTTGGCGGCGGCAGCGCCCTGCGTGTCACTAGGTGGTCTTCACGACCGGCAATTGCTTTTAAGGAGATCTGACAGTTCCCCCGGACATTTCCTTTTCTATTCGTTGCATAACTTTTATTACAGTCTATTGTTAGAATTGTTCTCTTTTATTATTAGTTATTGTTGCTAATCTCTTATTGTGCCTAAGATCTACGATAAGAACGAATCTTCTATCCGTCACATAAATTTTATTACAGTCTGTTGTTAGAATTGTTTTATTTTATTATTAGTTATCGTTGCTAATCTCTTTTTGTGCCTAATAAGATCTACGATAAGAACGAATCTTGTATCCGTCAAATAACTTTTATTACAGTCTGCTGTTAGAATTGATCTCTTTTATTATTAGCTATTGTTGCTAATCTCTTATTGTGCCTAATAAGATCTACGATAAGAACGAATCTTATATTCGTCACAACTTTTATTACAGTCTATTGTTAGAATTGTTTTCTTTTATTATTAGTTATTGTTGCTAATCTCTTATTGTGCCTAATAAGATCTACGATAAGAACGAATCTTATATTCGTCACATAAATTTTATTACAGTCTATTGTTAGAATTGTTTTATTTTATTTTTAGTTATTGTTGCTAATCTCTTATTGGGCCTAATAAGATCTACGATAAGAACGAATTTTCTGTCACATAATTTTATATCTATATGTTGTTCTAATTTTTCTAATCTATTATAAATTATTTTAGCACCTCTCAAAAGTTAAACAAGATCCAAGAAGTTTCACATTTCTCCGATACTGAAGCCTGTGCCAGGGTAAAGTATCTGGAGTAAGTAACTATATATATATATATATATATATATATATATATATATATATATATATATATATATATATATATGCACCATCGGGCGGCGTTAAAAGTGGATGTTGTCGTAAGCACTTACAAGTTTTTTTACGTTTGATTCTTACTGAGGAATCTACTCGTATGGAAATAAGGTAAGTAAATATCTACAATCCAAATATCTGCATCTACATTCAAACATATCTTCTTTTCTTTGTTTACAATCACTAATATGGCTTTTAGCCTGAGTAAGTTAAACAGAATAAATATCTACATGACAAATATTTTATTTCAATGACAGATCTTCTTTTCGTTGTTTATAACTAGCAACTTTTAGCTTTGGTCACAACTTGGTGCAAAGAACTCACAATTCATAGAAATTTTCAAGTTTCACACTTTTTCAAAACATTTCACCCCAAACAAGGAAATAAAGCCACAAAACGCAAGGAGTTACAGATTAAGAGAGAATCGGATAAAAATACTATTTAGTAGAGGGAACAAAAATTAAGAATTCTAAAGATAAAAATTGACAGGAGTACAAGAAGCCGGAAAAGAGTTCCTCAAATGAGACATGCAACAGAAGAAACACTTAGCATAGAACTAAGTTACAGCTTGCCATTTCAACTGTCAAATAATAAAAACCTTGCCGCCATTCTTAAATTTCTAATGTCTAGAGCCCAAAGAGGAAAACTCATCTGGATAATTAATATGAAAATATTCATATTAGCCACGTTAAAGTGAATGATGCTGAGATGCCAGGTGAAAACCGATAAAATTGCAAATTCTTCTTTGGAATTTATTAGGAATATTTAAGTATATAGCAGAAGCACCAGACAAGATGTGACAACAATATTTAACGCATGGACGAACGGTAGACTTATAAATATGAAGGATATATAAAAAATATATTATAAATGTGTAAGATGCTACGAAATGCAATGTGAATATATAATAAATAATGTAAATATATAATGATAAATATAATATAAATATATATAAATATATATAAGTATATAATAAATATATAATATATAAATAATATAAATATACAAATATAACATAAAATATAATATAAATAAAAATATATAAATATATAATCTATAATAATATATAATAAATATATTTTGGAGCAAAGCTACGGGCGATAATGGGTATGCCCCCATTCCCATAAATACAGTAGCGAATATTGTACGTGGTCTAGGGATGGAGATTCATTATCGAATTCACTTGACTCACTTCTAGCAGTTGATTACTTCTTCTACGCGCCGTTGGCGAATCTTACATGAGTTGTTCTTGTCCTAATTATTATCTTTCATTACCAAACTTCGTTTGATTATTCTATTCAGTAACCTTTTCTAGATTACAACAATATATAATATAAAATAATATATAATATAAAATAATATACAATATATAATATATAAATAGTATAAATATATAAATATAATTTAAATATAAATGTAATATAGATATATAAATAATATAATATATAAAGAAATAATAATATATAATAAATATATAATATAAAATAATATATACTATATAAATAATATAAATATATAAATATAATTTAAATAATATAATACAGAAATACATAATCTATAATAATGCATAATAATATGATATAACGATATATAATTTTGTATAATTCTATATATCAACAAACAGTATTTAGAAAAATATGGATTTTTTTTTCATGTAGCAACGTCAACAAAGCCCATTCCGATGAAACGCGTCACAAAAAATCTTCCCAGTTTGTCATATTTTTCTA